CCTCCCATACCCTTTCTTTGAGTATATATTTTGATTCAATTTCGTTGTCTTCAAGTTCGTCATTTAGTTCTTCTTTTTCTTTTTTCTTCTTATTCTCCTCCATCTTCTCATTTTCATTCAAGAGATGTGTAAACAGTTTTACATTGTTCACATGAGATTGAGGTATCCATAACCATGATGACTTACGTCGAAGTGATCTAATTTGACTCTTGCACAAGAGTATTTTTAAATTTGAGTATATTATTATCCTTATTTTTTAAATCATTTTTATTTGATGATGACCTGGGGGAGATGGAAGAAAAGTTAGGTATTGTGTGTAAAAATGTCTATTATTTTCATCAGGACTCTGGCATAGAGTGGAGAAGTCAGCTCACACCCTTTCCCCCTTCCCCCCTTTTCCGTAAAAACAAAAGCATCAGGGGAAGAAAAATCGAAACAAATTACAACTTGCTTTAGCACACGAAGCTATGTAAAAATAAATGAACCCACCCCCATTTCATGCTTATTCATTTTCATTTTTCCTCGACCCCCCCCCCCCCCCCCCCCCCCATCTTCCCGCCAGAGAATCTTGGATCCGCCAATAACAAAATATCAATAAAAGAAGAATTATTACACTAATCAAGATACAGAAATTCACATATTGACATGGCGCCCTCTATATATTTTTTAATCCGTCTCTTCTTCTCTCTTTCTTTTATGCTTCTATTAATCACGTAAATATATTTGGTTTAGGTTACTATACTCTTTGAAGTAAACATTATCCGTTACTTTCTTTTCTAACGATTGATACCGGATCACTTCGTTTTGAATTGGAGTTTAATTGGCTCCAGTGGAAGCATTTAGAAAGAAGTGGAAATACATCATAAATAACTTTGAATATGATACTTAAGTTTATAGTCTTTATGTATTGTAATATAATCAGGATTTTAATGTTTACGAAAGGTTGATTATGTATTGTAGGCCCAAGTAAATAATTAATGATGTATATATACTGCGTGGTTCGGGATAATCCATAACCAATAATCAATAACCAATAACCAATAATCAATAATCAATAACCAATAACTGATAATCAATAACAATGAGGTAACTGGTGCTCTTCAAATATAAATGGGTATATTGGACTACAAACATCCCACATGGCATGACAGTTCCGTCCAAACTTTTCTTTTATTTATCATGCTATTTTGGAATATGAAATCATTAAAGAGCATTCCTTAACAAGGGATATTTCTACTATGAGAAAGTTCAACAATTTATTTTCATTGAGAACTCAACCTTCAGAATAATTAAGGGACAACTCAAATATGGTATAGCAACAAAAAATTTAAGTTTTGGAAAAATACTTTCCTATTCAACCGTGGATTTTGATGAACCGGATTGCTATGCAAATATTTGTCATATGATTTTTAAAAGGTGTATATTTGCGTCAACGCTCTTTCTCAGTGAATTAAATACGAATGAACAAGGGCCTCGATTAGAGAGGAGGGCGTGGTAATGGATCAATTCGTCCTCCCTTCTCTTCCTTTTTCTCTCTCCTTTCATCAAAATGAAATATAAATAATTAAAAGTAATTAAAAAAGGTACATAACAAATGAAAAAAATAACTCAATGATTAAAAATATGAAAGAACAAAAAGAAAATAATATTTGTTTGATGCTCTTGGGCAGACATGCATTAACATTATGTATTTATATATGTCAAGTGAATCAGCATTCTTTATGCAATTTCACGAAGATTCTTCCAGGCTTAGGAGCTATGGCTATGAATGCCCGCTGAACAGCATTAGTTCTATAGCTTGAGATGTTGTACCGTAGATGTCTATATCAATAAAAAACTTGACTGGAGCGACCATGTTAAACACATTGTTACACCAATCTCCAGAAATATTGGTGTACTGTATAGAATACAATGTTTTGTTTCTGATAGAATATTACTTATGCTATATAATAGTCTAATTTTACCACACATCTCTTATTGTAATATTTTGTGGGCAACATCCAAGTGTGTGACTAATAATATTCTTCTGTTACAAAAGAAAGCTGTACGCATATGTACCCGAGCTGGTTATCGTGAAAATGCTACCTCACTATTTGTTAAACTGAAATGCTTAAAGATTGATGATATTAACTTCCTCCAATTGCCATTATTTATGTTCCGTTTTAATATCAAATTATTACCTACGTCATTATCTTCAATGTTCCAACCTAATAACATGGTTCATTCGTATTCAACAAGGCAGTCATCGAATTTACATGTGGTCAATCCTCACACTACATTAGCCCAGAAATCAATCAGACACAGAGGTCCAGATGTATGGAATTCTTTACCTAATGATATTAGAAATATAAAATCAACAAACTCTATTAAAAGAGCACTCAAATGTATTATCATTTCACAGATGTAAGATATTACTTACATTATAATCTATTTATCAGTTCTAATTAAATCTAACATAATTTTGTTACTAGGCTTAACGAAATTCTTTTTTTTTTTTTTTTTTAAACTTTGTAAATAGTGTAAATAGTTCACTACAAAACTTTAAATTTTTTATTTGTCATATATATATTTGAAAGGTGTTGTAACGATTCAAGCTCTATTTGCTTATGTTTCATCACCTTTGTGTGTTCATTCTTCAAACTGTATATAAGTTGCAACTTGTCTTTGATAAAACAATGTTATATTCTTTTTCACGTGAAGTTAATTCAAATGTATTGTAAAATTGAAAATGATTTGTCATCTTATATTAATTTTTCATGTGATGTTAACTTATTTATGTTTATCAATGTGCAATTTTTATGTATCTATGCTTTAAAAAACTTTTACCAAATACTATTTTACAATATTTTCAACTTAATAAGAATATTCACGGCCACCAGACCAGGATTTTAAATAATTTTCATATTCCAGGAGTAAGGACACTAGTTTCCCAAAATACAATTTTTTTCAGGGGTCCAAAAATTTGGAATGACATACCCATAGATATTCGACAGAGTCCATCACTAAATAGTTTTAAAAGAAAATTTAAACTGTACCTGTTAAGACAATACTCAATAGTGCAATAACCTATATTCTTAATGTTCATCAGACAGAAAAGTGTGTGTTGGTGTGTATGGGAGAGAGTGTATGTGTGAATGCAATTCCCCCCCCCCCTTTTTTTTCTTCCTTTTTATAACAAATACAAAATTTAAATAATGTACTTAGTTTTTTATACAATTACTGGAGACAGACTTTTACATATAAGGCCCGGCCTTCCTGTCTAGTCTCCAAATACTTTCATTAATGTACATGTTTAAAATGTTTTTCCCCTTGTCCATCATGTCTTCTCCACTTGTGTTATCCTCATGTTATATATTGATAAATGTATTATATTCTAACTTTTATATGTTTGTTTTCCTTGTATATTTTTTAATGAAAGTATTGAATAAAGTGAACTTGAACTTGAACTTGAACTTCAATGAATTGTGAAATTGTGAACATGCATGCATAAATAAATAAATAAATATGAATGAGATCGATCAGAAAGATATGACGGAGAGAAACGCTGCAAGTACTTAAACATTCGTAAAAGTTTTGAAGTGTAGTCGTTGCTTCTACAATACAGTACTCATCAGGGGCGGATCCAGCCGGCGGCATGGGAGGGAGCCAAATAGGGGGCCCAATTCGTGAGAAAATGTTTAGTGGCGAGTCAGCCAGCCGGCGAAAAGTGGGGGGGGGGGGAGCACTCAAGCCCCCCCCCCCCCTAGATCCGCCACTGGTACTCATTACCCTACAAGCACCGGTCTTCTCCTTCAATTTCTTCCCTTCTTCTTCTTCTTCTTCTTCTTCTTCTTCTACTCCTCCATCTTCTTCTTTTCTCATTCTTAGCTATAAGTAATATTCCTAAGTTCCGATTTTGTTTGATTTAATCATATTTTTGCATACAATTATTGATGAAATAAAATCATCGGGGCGTCCTTACCCCCCCCCCCCCCCCCCCCCCCCACACTCAGGGGTCGGAATGACCGCATGCGTGTTGCCAAAATGTCTGGTAAAGGGGTACTTTTCGTGCGACAAAGTCCGGCCTGAGAATTGTAAAAAAAAAAGGGTGTATTTGACTTTTCACCCGGAGATTTCTTTAAAAAAGGGGTGTTTTTTCTTTTTTTCTCTCATCTCTTTGGACTCCTGAGAAATTATTCCGAATTTAGAGGGTACATTGAGCATTTTTCCTGATTTAGCGGGGTCTCCAAGGCAGGAAAAGCCCGCGAAAAGCCCGCGAAAAGCCCGCGAAAAGCCCGCGAAAGGGGGATTCGGAAATGTTGGCAGTCCTCAGATAGGGGGTGCTTTCAAAAAGAGGGAACGAGCATATGCGTGGGGGCGGGACCCCCCCCCCTCTCTCTCTCTCTCTCTCTCTCTCTCTCTCGCTCTCTCTCCCCTCTCTCTCTCTCTCTCTCTCTCTCTCTCTTTCTCTCTCTGTATCCCTAGCTCACATTCTGTTTCTCTCTCGATTGTCAAGTCAAAGAGTCATTAAACCGAAATCATTTATCAAAATTAGGCGATCGTGTACAGCATGAGTATCATGGGGGAAGGGGGGGGGGGGGTGAAAACGCAGAAACCGGGAATTCCGACAAACCTTCAAACATGCCAAACTGGTGGACAATGGGGCAGAAAAAATGGCATCATGGCATAGCGTCATGATTTTAATTCGGAATTAAAATCTCCTATCTTCTACTACCAAAAGAGTTGACCCGGCCCCTTTTGCTAATTTGCTTCTTTGTTGTTTTCATGTTCGTAAATGTTCGTTTGTTTATCTCTAGGTGGAATGGGAACAATAAATAAAGGGCAAAGAATAATGGACATGAGGTAACCAAACTGGGGTTTGTCAACTACTCCGATCCTCAAATGGAATGAGTTAGGGCTTTTGATCTGAGACCCTTCTCATAAGACATCCTAAATTCTTTCCGTAACTTCCGGATTCATTACGTATCACGCATACATTGTTGTTAATGCACGTTTATTCAGCTGTCCTGCTTTCCTAGTAGAGCACATTCATCAACACATATACGGTATAACTTTACTTCCGTGTTCAAAATACTTCAACTCTCAGACAGACCTCCCCACTCACTCTCTGTGGTCTCGATATTTTTATGTGCACTCATAAATGAATTTGGACCCCTGAATTTTTAAAATTTAATTTCTGACCTGAACTATTCCTGGAAGCTACATGATGACGAAGTTTTTGGACAATTTCTGGGTAAGTTTTGCATCGGACGTACCTTACTAAGTTGTGCCTGGTTTTGTTGGCTTCGGTCGAATGGGCACTCGGGGGTGCAGGTATTCGAAGCGCACCTCCAACGCAGGAGTTCAGGCACAGGTTGTTGACTCGGCTCGAGCTCGGCCCGGCCCGGCGCGGCGCCCGGTAGAGATTCGTAGCTAGCGTGTGATTCATATTGTTTCGATATAAACTTGAAAATTGTAAAAATAAATGGTCAGTTAGCTATTCTGTGTCATGTAGTGCAATTTTATTGTAATGGAAGAGATGTTGGGATTGTAATGTAATTGGCCGACCTAATCAAAGACTACATAGATCTAGTACATGTGAGTAGAGTAAATACTTGTTACCTGTTTGACCTTTTGTATTCAATTCTCACTATGATTGTAGAAAACTAAAGTTCAAGTGTAAAAATTGATTGATTGATCTTAAATTGATTTGATAGACCTATACAGTATATAGATACGTATGTATCTTTTACCTGTCATTAAATTTGCTTCTCCTCTCCTCTTCCTCTTCCAATATTCTGCTTCTTCTTGCTATTCTTCTGAGTGAGTTTCTTTTTTCTTCTTCTTTTGCATCATTTTGTAATAATAGTGCTAATATAGGGGTAAGATTACAATGATATCTTCTTGAAACTGAAACAGACTTGATGAGCGTTAACATATTTATGACCATGAATTCATTCAATCATGAGAGCAAACGAAGCCTCTTGATTTATTTACCGATGTATGATTAATAGACCATTATCATAACTGTTGTTTGCAGAGAGAGATACCTGCCCAGTTTAATTACCTACACAATGGAAATAAAGGCTAATTAGAGGTTACATTTGTAGTTTCTGACTGACGTTTTTTTTCTATCACTTTCTAGTGTGACCACTAATCAATAGATTTTAAAAGTCTTTACTCTTGATTTTCTTTTTGGAGTCTTTTTAATCGACAGTGAAGCAGGTTTGTTCTGCTATATTTTGTAAAGATTTTTTTGTATAAATGAAAAACGGTCAAACCTGCTTTAGCTGCCACCTGTTTATAAAGACCGTTATTTTCTCTTTCCTGTGAAGAGTGGTTCTCATTGTCAGCTGTATTGAGGGAAACTATAACCACCTGCCTATAAAGTTCACAGGTTCAATTGTCCCCCTTTGAGCGGTCTTTAAACACAGGTTTGACTGTATGAGAGGACAAGCCAGGAGGGTGGGGGGGGGGGGGCTGAAAGAAATAACCATCTAGTATGGGGAATTCTTTTGTAAAGCTGACATAAAGTTGCCAACCTTTTCCATACAAAGATGGTAGCGCCTCCGGAGATGGGGCTATAATGTCGCCGTTCCTTGTGCTAGGAAGTACACGTATGATTGTATTTCACATGATGTAGAGACGATCATCTTTCAAACTACATGTACATTGTACATCATATTTTAATTACGGTACCTTGAATTCCTTTGCACATTAACTATAAGTCATGTACTCATATAAAATTCAACTGTGCTGTTGTGTATCACATACTGTAGGCATAGTATGTTGTAATTTTGTTTGTTTACCTTCATGTTTTCACTATTAGGAGAACAAGAGTAATGTATACTAGCTAATGTATACACTGTATAACAGAAGATATGGGCTCTGGTAATAATGCCTTCGTCTACATGTAAATTATAAACATTAATATAGATGAAGTTATTCTACTGCAATATCATGACACCAATTGTTGTTTGTTACACAACAAATGAAGTCTCCAGGTGTATTTCCCTTAATTACTAGGTCAGAACAATCACCAAATGATTCATATAAAAAGTGGCAAAATTATAGCCAACATTACTGAACGTTTCCTCTTTCTGTGTGTTATGGACTATGTTTAAAAAAAGCAATGTTTTTCAATCATTTATTCAGTCACGGCACCCTTTTAAGAAATATACAATTTTTGTGTCACCCCAATCCAAAATTAATCTCAGAAGATTCATTTTGCTTCACTTGTCAAGTGCCATACATACATGTACACACATGCGGGGCACATTTTTTTTCTAAATTATGCAAGCAAACGAGAACAAAATTGATATTTTGAATATAGTGTACATGTAAATGTTCAATGTACAATGTACTACAGGTTGTAGATGAGATATAAAATGATGTACAGGGTATGTGGGCACCTTGATACACAAATATGACAATATTCATTATTCAGGCATTTCGTTGTCCAGATTATCATGTTTCTAAATGTTAAAGCAAGTGAAGTGAACGAGCATGTTAAAAATGTAACCTCGATTTAACTATATATTTAAGATATACTCAGGTATCTCGCTAAGTACAAATCACAGTTCTAAAGATATTTGGACTTCTCTAATTGTATGTGTGTCCGAATGTAGGGATATATTTACATGTAGGAACCTCGCTGCCTAAAATTATCCCATTCCTAAATGTGAGTGAAAATTATTAAATCACATACATGTACTCTTGTCAGTTTCTAATACCAGTATTTGGTTTTCACTAAATTAACAATATTCTGACATGTTTCCGATACATAAGTTAATTTTTCTTGTGGCACCCTTGTTGAAAAACGCTGTTTTAATGTAGTCATAATGTAGTCATTCATCTTTCTACATGTAAATATCTTGAGAAAAGAACTTTGTCAACAGTTGTTTTCTTTAGGGAAATGGAAGTTGTTGGGCATATTTCAAACTTTCTCAGTTAAGCCCTTTGACCAAGAGGGTAAGTTCATGTTGTAAATGGTCGGCTTGTGACTAGAGCAACTGGTAACTAGGTACATGTATAGTAAGAAAACAGCCCTGCTGAGATATATATTCATGTATACTGTACAATGACTTGTCTGCCATGTGATTAAGTAAGCCTATCACCATTATGAGCTGCTTCCTTTTCTGATCACCCATTAAACAGCATTGTGCAACTTGTCAAGTATTCATTTACACAGGCTTTACTTGGTATGGCCGGCTTCTCCAAGTACTTGTGAGTTGTGAGGAATACTCAGACAAATTATGCCTTTATTAGTTTAAATATTAGTTTTCTTCCCGATTCAGTTGATACTTTACCAGAACATTAGCAGATTATTTTCAAGCAAAAATGTTAAGTACAATGTCTAGACTCAGGCCAGGAAACTGGCTGGCAGATATCTATCTGGACATTAGTAGACAAGACAAACATTGAATGGCTAAGAGTGCTTTGTTCTTCTGAAACTAATATCCCTGTTCAGATGTCATGAAATTTTATATGAAATTCTTGTAAAGAAACGTATAAAGAATCATTACATACTGTAGAAAGAGGAGTGCACAAACTGGATAACAATGTTGTATAAAGAAACGTTATAAATTATAGAGAGACTAGATTTAAAGAGGTCACTTGACATCTCGGTTCTACCCAGATACAGTATACGGTTTCAGTACAAAGTTTAGACTAGAACGGGACCTTCATTTTTCATCAAGTTTTCGTTCAAATGGCGCTCAAACATCCATTTCCCTATACAATGTTCAAACTAGAAATAATTAATTATTATCATAGCACTAAACAGTTTTTGTATAGTTACAATACAATTAATTTGGGTAGTCTGAATTTGAGGAGGGGTAGGGGTACTGGTATGAAATTGGGTCAGTTTAACCTGTTGAATATGATTGGAGTTTGTCACAGCACATGCATTTTTCATGTACTCCTGCTGTCCTGCCCAAAGTTTCTGGAGCTTAATAGTGGTATTCCCATATTCGTGCAGGATTTTTTGTTTTATGGTACATGTAATTTCTTACATTCTCTACATGTATATTTTAGGGTTTCAATAGAGATAGAGTACTTTAAAGGCTGTTCCCTAGATGTAAATAACTATCTGATGGGTAGTGTGCAATCATTCACATGTCCACCTATCTTTTGTAACTCTATTCTGGCTCAAAATTCTCCAACATGAACAGTGATGATGTCATCAATCAGTGGAGAGTTCATTCAGACCCCAAATCTGACAAAGGATTTTGGTAACTAGTGGTTTTTGTGGTATCCTTCACTATATATATATATATATATATATATATATATATATATTCCCCTAGTGTTATATGATGAAATGTTCACCAAGTCATATTTTTTGGTTGATTCATGTTACATATTACATGTAGATTTTAAAAATATCAATTTGAAGTACTTTTCTATGACCTCTTTAAAACCGATAGAAACAAAAATTTGAAACGAGTTTGACTGATTACTTAATTATGATATTTGTTTATAAACAATTTTTGTAGGATCATAAAGGTTGGTCAACCTTACAGTACCTTCCACACCCCCTCCCGACCCCTACCCCCTTGCAATCTGATATTTTCAATCAGGTGAATTCCAGGGGCTAGCTAGTTAGCTTTGACAAAAGTCTCCTCCAACTTTTGCTACAATCAATGTCCATCTGAAGTCGGCAATGACGCACTTGGATCGCACCGCAAGAGCCTCACTCATGATGACAGATCCCAGTTGGGAGCTTGACGCGCCGTAACGGCCGTTGCCCCCTAAAAATAGAACCTGGAGGAATACATAAATTAGATGATTTAAGCAGAACATAATTGGATCATATCCATGGATCTCGAGGTCCTAAACTTAGCCAACCATCCCATGCTATTATTAGCCCCAATCCACTTAATCTTAAGGAGCACTGCCCACAGATCTGGAACAAATTTGTGTTGTTACCATAATTATGGATGTAAAGTGAAATTAAAACACACACAAAATATATAAAGAAACTGAATCATAGAGGCAAATATACTTGCTGTGTCTTATGTATGTATTTGTACCTGACAGATATATTTTATTACCTACATGTGAAGCTATATTATCCACATTTAATATTCCTGTGGAATTTTTTCTTCTTTCACTAACCCAACATGTACTGTGGACTTTCTTTCAACAACAATAAATGTAGATTTAGATGTTTAGGGTTCAGTTTAGAGTTTGGTCCGGTTAGGAAATTGTTTACCCTAGGTTATGATAATGGAGCAATTATTTGATGAAACT